CACCCTAGCTATGTGATTATGTTTTTCTGAGCCTTTCTTGCAGCTAGGTAGGGCCAAATAACTAAGCTTTAAGCCAATGATTTGTAAGCCCTGTGCTATGTGGACCTTCTGAAAAATCTTCCTTCTTCCCTTCCTCTACCCTCCTGTCTGGAATGAAGATACAATAGCTGCAGACCAATAGCCATCCTATCCCGTGAAGGTGGTGGTGATGGGTTATGTCTGTTGACTCCCTTACTAGAAGATGTGAGTCATAAGAACAGGAATCTTGTTTATCTTGGTCAAAACAACATTCCCAGCTCTTAAAAAGTGCGTGGCATGTGCTAAGGATTCAGGTATTGAATGGTTATTGAATAATGGATGAATGAATGAGTTTACTCTGAACCCATATAAACAAGGTCTCAGTTTCTCACCCAGAATCAAACTCCTGCTTAATTCGAATCACATTACTCCTATTTGCGTACCTTTGCTCTCCCAGACCTGCCACTGTCACAGAAGGATAGGATGTTGTTGTTTTTTTTCTTAATGCTCTCCAGTATTCCCTTCAAACGAAATGTTTTTAAATCTGTTTTCTTAACAATGCTTCCCAATATCTTGCTACTTAGCAAGTCTAAAATTTTTCAACTTTCAAAGTCACGTATATCTATTTTCGTGTGTCTGTTGTTGAATGCAGGCACTATTTTGTGACTTAAAATAGGCATTGTCTCACGTCTACAAGAATCATCTAAGATAGTATCTAATGACTTTCCTAAGACTTCAGACAATATTATTATTTTCACAGAATGCAGTCACTAGGTCCTGAGGATTTAACTAGATCTTGGTTACTGAAAGTGAATTTTGTTGAATCCTTTCCAATTCCACCATGCTCTCCCACATTTTAACATGTCACCTATTTTTGTCCTCAAACTTAAGTCTTTTAAACAGAATTAAATTAAATATATTTAATCATCCCTCCATCCCTGATTTTTGAAGTGACCTTTTCTTTTTCTTCCTGTTAAATTTTTTTTTTTTT